TTCAATAAAACTGCATTTATACACAGTTTGGTCATGGACGAGTAAAGTAGGCTTGGGATGTAGTTTACTAAAGAACTTCCAGGACTTGCAGACAGAGAACCTTGTTCAGGAGCAATCACATGGTCTCTGGTTGCCTCTGAATTCCAAAGTTTGACCAAGAACCCGATGGCGCTGTCTACCAGATTGCTGGGAAAATCCACACAGCCCCATCAGAATCCATCCACTTCCACAAAGTGCCTGGGATGGATCACCATAATCAGTCACCTGTCTGGAAGCAAAAAGCCTCACTGGAACTAGGAAGTGACCTGTCTAAAGCAAAAGATTAATAGCAACGCCCTTTGTCTTGTGATCACAAGCCAGTTACTACAAGGTAAAACAAGTCAAGCCAGAGATTATCTGGGAAAAAGCAAATGAAGGCCAAGAACTCCCCGTCCTCCACAGATCTTGAAATTTGTAGTTGGAAGGAGGGTAAATACCCGCCCAACAATGGAAATCACAAGGTCAGGATGGGATGTTCTAGGTAGCAAAGTGGGCAGTTCACCATTAGAGTCCCCAACATGTTCTCATATCTGTAGAGTCCTGGGTCAAAGCCAAGTTATTCCTGAGAATCATCCCACCCACCCCCTTCTCTCACACACGGACCTTAAGAGTTGTAGCTGCTAAAAGATCCAAAGCACAGAAGAGCATTTCAGAGGCATCCTGTCTGCACCACATAATAAATCTTTGGTTCTACATACCAGGCCCACTTCACTTATCCATGACCAAATGGTGTGTATTAGGTACACTGTCAGGTGCTGACCAAGAGCACCACAAGACCAAAGTCACTAGCAGTCTAACCTGCTAGATACAAAAATGAGGCTGAAGTGCAGGAGGGGATCAGCAACACATCCCTCGTGACATTCCTGTAAACGGGGAAGCCCAGTGCTCCCTTTTCCCTCCATTTACAGTCCAGATTCGCTTGTTCTTCTCTCATGAATACATCTGTGGTAACAACAAAGACATTACCGGTTTCCAGGACCTCTTGTAGGATCCATGGAAGCTGTGAAACAGGTTTTACAAAGTTGTCCTGCAGTCTGCCCTCATTCATTTTGTTCGAAATTTTTATGAACCCTGCATTTTCCACATCCTGTTAGCAACAAAGTCATTTATGACAGTATGGAGAGATACTTTTGGCTACAACATTGTCAACTTATTTCAAGCAGCTTAATTCAAGAAGAAACAATGGGATCTCTTGATGATCTTGTCAGCACAATCACTAAGTAGAGATATGCTCCACTCAAAACTAGATTATTCAGGTCATTCTAAGGTAAGGGTGTCAAACTGCCGGCCCACGGGATGCGTCATGGCGAAACCGCGCCCACCCCATTGCCGGCAACGGGGGAAAAGTCACGATACGTTGGGGGACATTGCGAGTTTGACACCCCTGTTCTAAGGTATTCCAAGCTCAACAAATTTGGCACATTGAGAGTTAGTTTATTTGAAGATTTTTCTCCTAATGCATGGGAGGGCTAGGGAGAATGGTTAGTGCTTCTCCGTTTTAGTAATTAAACTGACACTAATAAAAACCCCTCCTTAATTTCTCATTTAACTGCCGAGGTGGCGCAGCAGTTAGAGTGCAGTACTGCAGGCCACTTTAGCTGACTGTGTTCAGCAGGTCAGCGGTTCAAATCTCACCGGCTCAAGGTTGACTCAGCCTTCCATCCTTCCGAGGTAGGTAAAATGAGGACCCAGATTGTTGGGGGCAATGTAAATATATATATATATATATACGTTGCTTACTGGTGTACACTGCTTAGAGAGTGCTTGCACTTAAAGCGGTATATAAGTCTCATAAATAAATAAATAAATAAATAAATAGATTTTTGTAAGTTTTCTTTTAATCCTGAATATGCTTACTTACAAATTCATAAGAATATACGAAGATATTTAAGTGCATACTATTCTCCTGGTCAAGATGCATTAATACAAATGAACACAAAGTGATACCACTACTAAATGCTTTTAATAAATTAAACCCCCGACAGAAGCTTTTTATGACTGCAGGCAAAGGTTCCCTAACCCTACCTGCAATAATAAAATGTTACTTTGTTAAGTTACATACATTTCAATCTGATTCCTACATTCATTCAAGATTTCTACCTCTTTTGCTCAAATGGAATAATGTATCGGTAGCATTCGTATGTTTTCAACATGTGTTCAATTTAAATTTCATTTTATATTCAAACTCTCAAGGTAGGTTCTCAGTTTAAACAATATAACTTGTAAAACAGAAAAACAACTGATAGGAGGTAGTAAAATTACCCTTTCCACTAATTTGAAAGTGACCGAGAGAGTGAAGTCTGGAGCAGAATGTCCCTGCCTCAAATTCTTACTCCTTCACTTCTCAACAGGACTATATGTATTAGGCCTTTTATCTGTATTAAGGTAATATAACTACAGGTAGTCTTTGACTTACGATCACAATTGACCTGAAAATTTTTCTTATTGAGACAGTTGTTAAGTGAATTTTCCCCATTTTACGACCTTTCTTGCCACAGCTGTTAGGTGAATCACTGCAATTGTTAAGTTGGTAACATGGTTCTTAAGTGAATCTGCTTTCCCCACTGACTTTGCTTGTCAGATGATGATCACATGACCCTGGGACATGGCAACCATCATAAATATGACAGTTGATCATGTGAGCATGGAGATGCTGCAATGGTCATAAGTGTGAAAAATGGTCATAAGTCACTTTTTTCAGCGCTACTGTAATTTCAAAGTCACTAAATGAACTGTTATAAGTCGAGGACTATGTGTACTTTACTATTTGAAAACTTTCTAAATTGCTATATCAATAGCTTTTTACAAATTAGACTGCTATTGTTAAAATACTTTTGATTAACTATAACACCAATTGTAAATAATTATTTCTATAGGAACTCATAGCACTGAAATTATTTCATATAGTAGTGTTATATTTTGTAAGCTATTTAGACCCAGGTTATTTATCACTTCTCCCCAACGTCATATGCTTATCTTCATGCTTTAATAAGATGGGCACATTTTGGGTCCCTTCCTTAAAACCTACTAGGACCTGGAAGGCATGCCGTTTCTGTAGAGGCACCTGTCCTTTGGAATGATTGTTCTCACCCCCACCCTTCCTGCTCAGTTGCTTTTATCTTGGTTTCTTTCCTCTTGTAAACAGCCCAGAGTCCCATTGTTTAAGTTAGGCAGCCATATAAATTCTTTAAATATTATCTTCAGTTTGGCTGAGAAAGAAAGTCTTATCTAAAAGCAATTAGTGCACTGAAAGCAGGATTTGATTTAGTAAGTCCTGATTATTTTCAACATGATTTACATGCAATTTTCTCAGCAGCATTACAGAGATTGCCATTATTTTGCTTATTAGTCAAATTTAAAACGGTGCCCAACTCTCTAAACTTTCCTCCTTCTTTAGGTTTCTAATCTAGTTTAAAGGTTTGGTTTCCTGATTATCTCCCATGCAAGTACTAATCAGGTCTGATTCTTTCAAACTAGGCCAGGTGCTATCTGTGTTATAGGCACATTGTCTATTTAAGAGTGTGTGTGTGTGTGTGTGTGTACACCTTCAATACAGACTGAACACTTGGCAGCTGTCTGAAGAAGTCCTTGTAGTTTTCTTTGCAACATTTTTGGAAGCGGTTTGCCTGGTTGCCTCCTTTCTAACCCAGAGACAGGAGGGACTACTCCAAGGTCATCCAGCTGACTGTGCCTAATTCAGAATTAAAACTGAGTCTCCCGGTTTCTACATGGGGCCTTTACCGCTACATCAATCTGGCTCTCTCCATTTAAAACAGGTCAACTCAAGGCATTTCCCACTTCCTCTAATTTAGATTTCTGTATTTAGCAATCTATCTACTCAAGCAGACTGAAATACTGGACGGAGGAAATACACAATATTCTGCAGTGCTACAGGAAACTGAAGATGGAAATAAGACTACGCAGCTCAAGAGTTTTCTGAAATAAAAATGAAATATTTGACAGTAACAAACTAGACCACAGGTTTTGGTGGGTTTAAAGTCCTGTTTGGCAGATGACTCTAATAAAATGATTGCAACTAATTATAGAATGCATTTGTTAATTGCCCCACAGTCAATACACGAACCCTAATTATCTCTAAATTGACGGTTGCAATGATGAGTTCTGCACATGCTTTGAAATACCACTAGCCCATAACGCTGCCCCAGATGCCCCTATTCGGTCAACTTTATATAATGCCTTATTAGGCTCTTTCATTTAAGAGACTCCAGTGCATTTAAAGTCTTAAAAGACCTTGGACACAATTTAGCAGAGCACCTTTATGACTTTTTTTCCTGAGTGAACAAATACTGAAAAAGGGCAGAATAATCACCTGCTAGATCAGGGGTAGTCAACCTTGGCTCTTTTATGACTCGTGGACTTCAACTCCCAGAATTCCTGAGCCAGCACAGCTGGCTCAGGAATTCTGGGAATTGAAGTCCACGAGTCATAAAAGAGCCAAGGTTGACTACCCCTGTGCTAGATACACAATTGGAAGGCAGATAAACTAAGTACAACCCCGGTGGACAGGATAATTTCTACTGGATGTTCCCCCACTGCTCTCCTTTCCAACCTCTCTGCACGACACACCAACCCTCCAACTACCCAGCCACCGTTCAGCCTGGCTTGCTCAAAGCCCGGCGAGGGTTCCCCACTTTGCTCCCCAAGGGCAACGCCGCCCAACTGGGTGAAGCAGGCAGGGCCAAACCAGGCAGGGAGGCCGCCCGCGAACCGGCCTCCCTGCCAAAAGGAGCCTCCCTGCAGGGATCGCCGAGACCAGCCCGAGGGGTCGAAATTTCTTCCGTTTCCCACGGCAACGCCTCGAACCCCGGAGAAGGCACGAAGCCTCCTGCCGGGCCTGGGGTTGGAGCCGGGGCCCGTGCTCCCAGCCCAGCCCAGCCGGGCCCCCGGCCTGTCCCGGGGCGGAGGGGAGACAGGAGCGGGCTCGGCCCCCGCGCCCTCACCTGCCCACCGTCTGGTTGGCCAGCTGCTTCATGCGGTTGAACTGCTTCTTCATGGTGGCGGTGCCGTCGCTGCCCCGCTCTTACCGCGCCGCCCGCGCGCGACTCCCGGCCCGCCTCGCCAGCGCAGCCCGCAGCGGCAGACCCGGCTTGCACCTGATGGCCCCACCGGAAGACGCCGCGACTTCCGGATGCCGGCGCGTCACCGCCCGCCCTGCCTGTCTGCCTGCTGCGGAGCACAGGGCGGCGCCCGGAAATGCCGTCAGGAACATAGAGAGCGAAAGGGCAGAAAGGCCGCGTCCGGTGCTTTTGGAGTCTAGAGCTAGGAAAGGGAAGAGTGTGGCCGGCAGTACGTTCCTCCCTCGTCCCGGGAGCGCTTTTTCTCGTTGGCGCGGGAGTTGCGCTGCCGTGCCTGGGACGGAGAGACCGTGTGTTGGTCGGATCGAGGTTGGGGGACGGATCTTGGCTGCCCAAGCGGCACCTGCTCCCCAGGCCGTTTCTGACCGAGCGTCGCTCGCCCTTGCGGCATGACGGAGGGGGAGGCAGCATCCTATTAGCCAGTTAACCAGTCTTTCCAAAAATTGGGATGCGAGGGGAGACAAGCTGGTTTTGCAAAGGCAGGTTGCATGGGACCTTTTCAGGTAACCATTGTAAAGTGTTTATTTAGCAAATGTATATACCATAGGTGTCCATCTCGGTGTGTAAGCAGAATAACAGTTAAAACAGTATCTTTAAAATAAGTCTCCTAACATCTGCAGCCACCCTGCAGAATCTCCATAGATCTACAGAGTTGCTGGAAAATCTGTTTTACAGCTGGCACTTTCCAGATGACCGGGAACAAGACAACCTGCGCAGGTGTTGCCTCAAATCGGGGCCTCAACTGCAAGTGATCGAGCTCACAGAAGGCGTTAAACGGGGTTATAACTACGTGGCTGGATGGGCTAACTGGGGGGGGGGAGGCGGCGAGGGTAGGATGTTGCTTTCTCTTGCCAGATGGAATGACAGACACAACATGCAACATCAGTCTCCTGTTGAACTTAATGAAATATTCCTTCCTCCTCTTTTTTCCCCCCAGTGACAACAATATGAGCTAGTTTAGACTGAGAGGCAGGACTGGCTAAAGTCACCCAGCTGGTTTTCCCACCTAAAGGAGGCCTGAATCTCACTCCTACTGGTTCCTAGGCCAGCACCTGAACCACTACACCAAACAGGCTCTCTTGTGCCACTCTGCCAGGAGATATGTAGGTGTATTGGTCTTCTTCAGTCATTCCAGCTAGAAAGAGAAAGGGGTGGAACGCTTCTCAGTTTTGTGCTTGGCAGACAGGCAGAAGGAGAGTGTGCTTGCGGTTTAATGGGACAAATATTCTGTTTCTGGGTGGAAACATCACCACTCCACCTGGGAATCTTCCAGGAAACAGCCCTGAAAGATTCTCAGGTGGAGTGGTGATGCTTCCCCCCAGCAACAGTATATTTGTCCCATTAGTCAGCACTCTCCTCCTGCCAGTCTTCCAAGCACAGAATTGGCAGTCTTGAGGGATCATTGAACCCCCTAATTGTTTTCCAGTATCCCAGTTACATGCCCCCACCTGCCCTGTGGGTCAGCGCACCTGTGACCCTGTTATTTTGAAAAGCCTTTAAAAAGTTTTGTTCATCAGGGTGGGAGGGGATTTGCGAAACTTCATGTATATATTATACTGTAATATGGTGTTTCTTAATGCGAGTAACCTTAAAATGTGTGGATTTTAACTCCCAAGCTGGTTGGGGAATTCTGGGAGTTGAAGTCTATACATCTTAAAGTTGTTCAGGTTGAGAAACCTGACCAACATAATATTATATACAATACAGTATATAAATGTGACTGGATGACGCAAATGGGGGACTCCCCAGGGCCGGGGCTCTTTTGCCGGCCAGCCGATCGTGGGAAACGAGCAACACGCGGATCCCCACATACACGGAGCGTTGGGTCCCTTTCTCGATAGTCTCGCGAGTTAGACTGCAATTCCCATGATGCCGAGGGGCTGCTTCCGCCCTCTACAGACAATGCCTCCCCTTTCAGCGAAGGACTACAATTCCCGGCGTACTTTGCTTTCCTCACCACACGCAATAAGGCGCGTGTCGCCTTTGATTGGGTATCGGCGATAGCGTCGCCAATAGGAAGAGAAAGGGGCGGGGAGAACGCCGTTCGGCCAACCTCCCAAGGGCCGCTTCCTGGCCCGGCCAATGGGGGAGCGCGTTGCTGCCCGGTGCCGGCGACGTCGCGCTCTGAGGGGAGCTCGGCGGCCTCGGCCCGGCATGGGCAGCCCGCGCTCCTCTCCCGCGCCTCTCCGCTGAGCACCCGCGCCCGGCCATGGCCGGCCCCTCCCGAGACCTGGGCACCGACGTCTTCGACGAGGCCGTGCGGAACACCTGCGACGTCGCCTCCCATTGCAAGCGGTGAAGGAACGGCGCGGGCGGGGCTTTCGGGGGGGGGGCTCTGTGGCCTGGCGCGGCCCGCTGAATCGGGGGACCGATCGTGGCGGGATGGAAGACCACTAAGAAATCTCAGGAAGAAAGGCTAGCGGGGGGGGGGTCCCAGAGCCCCCCTGAGAATAGCCCGCGGAGCCCGTGAAGGTTTTAGGCCCGGGGCTCCAGCCACGGGGCTTATAATCCCGTTTAGCGCCTTCTGGGAGCTCGGTCAGTTGCGGTTGAAGGAGGCCCCGATTTGAGGCGACACCTGCGCCCGTGCCCGGACACCTGGGAAGTGCCAGCGGCAAAACAGTCGCTTGTTGAGCTGGGCCGAATGAAGAAGAAACTGCAAGCAGGAGCCCCGGCATGTCTGTAGCTTACTGGGCTGCTCTCGTTCGTTTACAAGCCTGCCTTTCCTCCAAGGGCTACTCGGGGTGGTGTGGCCCTTCCTGTCCCCACCTTGAGAAGAGTGAACTCCAGCTTAAGGGCTGGAGGGAGATTTGGACCGCAGGGGCTTTACTTTTTCTCCAGCCATCTAGAAGAGTTTTTGTTATTATTTGTATTGGGGGCACTAGGATTGTAGATGATCACAAGTTGGTTATAAATAAACAGCATGAATTGGTTGCCAAATTGACAAGAGTACTTTCAGCCAGCATCAGTTAAGGAAATTTTGTATGTTCCAAATCAGTGGTTCTTAACCTGGGCGATATTGCCCCCCAGGGGGCGATTTTGTTTTTCAAGGGGGTGATGGAACAAAAATGGGGCGATATGGGGGCAATGGAGCGAGAAGTTTTGGGGACACTTTTGAGATTTTTTCATACAGTGAATCGCCGCATATCTGTCGTACAAAAACATCAGATCGCTCGCTATTAGTGGATTGAATTGTGTTTTCAAATGTTCCTCCAGCTAGCTTCAGTACAGAACGTCGTACATATGTGAAGACGCATCGCTTATCTTCATGCACGTTGCGCAGCAGCCTCTACCCATACAGTGGCGCGCCATTGGCCAGAATATGGGAGATATGGGAAAAAGATTGGAAATAAATTATTTACATCGATATGTCCTGATGACAGTTTTAAAGAAAACAAAAGAAGTGTTTGCATAAATTGAAGAATTATTTCCTATGTTGTGATTGAGAGTTTATGTTGGGGGAGGGGGGCGATGACAACTTCCTCATTGGCTCAAGGGGTGATTCGTTCAAAAAGGCTAAGAACCACTGTTCCAAATCATAGTTCTACAAAGTAATCATTCTGTCCTCGATTAGTAGCACTATAGCCTCAGGTATTGTGCAATGTTTTGGGGTAACCCACTTAATGTTTTTAAACAGGCTGGGTACATATTTATAGGAGGATGCTTTAATATTGATTTCTGCCATGAACATGTATTTTATCTAATCCTATTGTGCTAGCTCTCCTTGCATCCATATATGTACAAACCTGGTTTTTCATCCAGTGGTTTTCTCCTAGAATTGATAGTACACAGTTTTCCACTCCTACCTGCCTGTTCAGACCAGCAGCTGCTTCTGAAAATATTCATAAATATTTTGAAGAGGCTCTTTTCCATCTTTTAAACATGGAATCATAGTATGAATTACCCTAATTTATTTAATGTAGATAAGACCTACTTTTCTAATTTAGACTGATACTCATATAGGGTAGAATTTTGTTTTCAGTGGAATAGGAGTTTGTTAAAACACTGTTTTTCTTTCTGTGATCAGATATGCTGTAAGTGTTGGTTACTGGAAAGACCCTTACATTGAATATTTTGTAAGCCATCCAAAAGAAAGGAAGGCACCTGAAATCAGCCGTGGTAGGTTATAAACAAATATTTGTGGGGCAATTTGTTTTGCTTCATGAACCTATGGCAAAAGGAAGAACAGAAGAGGTGGGTGGTGGATCGGAGCTAACTAAAAATTATTTTCAAATGTTTTCAAAGCTAAAATTTGTCCACTAATTGGTTTTTTTTTTCCCCTAAGGGTATTATGCACGGGTCCAGGGAGTTGGTCGTTTACTTAAGGCTTTCTTAGAAAAGACAAAATGCAATTGCCAAATTATAAATCTTGGTGCTGGCATGGATACTCTGTTTTGGAAATTAAAGGTAAAATAACTTATAATATTATCTCAAGTGTGATCTCTAATTATAATTTCTTAAAGATTTTGGTTTTTTCCACCTTTATTGATTATATAATGAAGTTAGGCAAACTGGGATCCTGTAGATAGTTTGGATGTCAACTGTCATCAACTCCATCCAATATAGTTGAAGTTAAAGGATTATGGGGCTTGCCATCCAAAATATCTTAAGGACGACTTCCGGTGGATTTTGCGTGCGTGATGGCGGCTACTTTGTAGCCGTCCTCCTGGGTAAGTGTAAGAACCGCTATGAACAGCAGATATCAGCTGTTCAGCGGTTCAAAATCCCCCTCCCGGGCAAAGGGGGGGGGTAGAGAGTGTCTGAATAGTGGTAGAGCCTCTTTCGCACCCCCCAAGTTTTTTTTTTTGGGGGGGTGAAAGGAGTGCTCCCACGGAGTTCAGACTTGTCTCCGCTTCCCAGCTGTTTTTGTCCTCAGGGACAAAACGAGCCGCCGCAAACACCTCCGTGCTTAAAGAGAACTGGTGAGTTTTTTTTTTTTTAAATGGACAGAGCTGAGTAGAGGATTTAGTTTTTGCTTTCTTTGACTTATTTGGATTTTAAGTTTTAAGATTTGTTTCTATTTTTATTCTCTCTTTTTATTTTTTTTCTTTGTTGAAAGGGAAAGTAAAATGGCGATCGGCAAACTCCTCGGTGTTTTTTTTTCTGGAAGTTAGAATGCTGACCGGCAGGCTTTTTGGTGTTTTTCTTTCTTTCCTTTCCCTTTCTCTTTTTATTTCCTTATGATTGGAATGGTTGTTTTTGGTATCTCTAAGTATTTTTTTTGGAACGGACTTTTTTTTATTTAATTATTTTTTTTTTTCCCCTTCTCCCTTTTTTTTTCCTTTGAACTCCCTTTTTTTTTTTATTGTAATGACCCTTTTTTGAAGGACTTTTTTTCTGTTTAATTTTTTGTAATTTTTAAGAAGGAGTAAAACTTTTTTTTAATTCTTTTTCTCTTCCTTTTTTTCCCTTTTTTCTTTTTATTATAATGACCTTCTTTGGAGGGAGTTATATTTTTGAAGGAATTTTTATAATTGCTTAAGAAGGACTAAAGGTTTTTCTTTAAGATGGCTCCAAAGCGTCCAGGGATTTCTACAGTTTCTAAATCAACAGTTTCACCCTCTTCTGGGGGTCAGCTAATAACTATGAAGGACTTGCAAGACATGATGGGAGATGTTATAATTCAAATTAGGGCAGAAATGAAAAAGATTCTAGAGGAAAACAATAAGATCTTGAGACAAGATTTTGTTTTGGCTTTAGAAGGTGTTGCTTCTGTTCTTGAAAAGGTGAACTCCCATGTGGAAGAGGTAGCTGAAAAAGTGGACATAATGGAGGGGAAAATTGAAAGTATGGAAAAAGAAATGGAAAATGAGATTCTTATGCTTCAATATGGACAAATGGAATATGCCTTAAGAATTAGAGGCCTGGGAGAGTCTTTGCAAGGAGATCTGAAGGAGATGGTTGCAAAGGACTTTGCATTGATTTTGAATAAAGAAAAAGAGGGAATACTTAATGAAATTGAAAAATTATTTAGGGTTAACTCTGTGGTGGCAGCACAGAAGAATCTGCCAAGAGATGTGGTAATTTACTTTGGTAAAAGATCTTTACGCAATGAAATTGTGCAAGCCTATTATAAGAAGAGATTTCAAATTGCTTCACAAGATGTTATAATTTTTAAAGAGATCCCATCTAAAATTTTAAGAAGAAGAAAGGAGTTTGCTTTTTTAGCAAATGAACTTAAAAAGAGAAAAATTTCATTTAGATGGGATGTTCCGATTGGAATGGTGGTGAATTACTGGGGACATGTTATAGACTTAATACTGTTTCTCAAGCAAAAGATTTTTATACTTCGGTCCTGGGGGTATGTGCATCGCCATCAATTAAGTTTAAAGCTTTGGAAGAAAAGAATGTAGAATCACAGTTTGAAGAGCCTATATTTATGAAAACTGGAGAATTTTTGTGTGAGAGGCCTCAACAAGTCCAGGTTGAGGAGCAGAAGACAACTTGTGCAGTATATAATCCCAAAGAAAAGCAGCAACAGAAGAAGGTTAAGGAAGTTTCATATTTAGTGGTTTCTGAATCTCTGGGAGATGTTAGACCTACAAAGTCTTTGGAGCAATCTTTAAGGGTGGAATTGTTGCCTGAAATGGAAACTGGGAAATCTCAGTCTGAGGGGCATCAACAAGAGAGGAACGGGCAGAGGATAACTTGTACAACTTACAATTGTAAAGATCAATACAAGGAGGAATTTAAGGAACCCTTATTGGCTTCGGAGTCGATGGGAGATTCAGGAATTTTGGAGCAGTCTCCTAAGGCAGAACTTGCAGCATTTCTTACGAGTTTGATACAAGAATGGAGAAGGGAAATGGAAGAATGGAAGAATGGAGAATGGAAAAAACTGGAATGTGAATAATTAATAATACTAATATAATTGAGATTGATAAGGATGTAGTTTTTTACGGATGGAATTAGTTATTGGTGAAGATTGAAATGTTTAATGTGTTTATTAACTTTGTTGTTTTAAGTTTTGAACCTTTAATGATAATATTGTTTAAATTTGTGTTTTGAAGGGATTATAATTTGCTTATTTTAGTGAGTGGATTCTAATATTTTAAATTTTAAAAATTTGTGGTTTTGGAGGGAGTTTATATAGAGTGATGATTGTATTTAGATTTGTTTAGGATTTAAAAGTGTTTTTAGTTTTTAAATATTATTATTAATATTTTTAAGACAAAATAATTTGTTTAATTAAATGTGCTTAGATTTGTTTAGGACTTATAGGTTTTTTAAGTTTTTGTTTTTTTTTTTTTTTTTTTTTTTTTCTTTTTGGATAGGAGAGAAGATTATGAAGATTGAAGGAAATATGTACTTACTTTAAGTTCTTTAAGAGTATTTAGCTTTAATGGTATAACAAAGATTTGTATGTTTATTTTTTCGTTTTAGGATAAAGAAAGAGGGAGAAATTAGATTTTATATTATAGATATAGATATTCAAAGAAAGTAATGTTTAAATTTGTGTTTTTGGAGGGAGCTTATATAGAATGATGATTGTATTTAAATTTGTTTAGGTTTTAAAAGTGTTTTAAGTTTTTTTTTTTTTTTAATTAAGCCTGTACTCAGCTCTGGGAAGTCCAGGGGAGGGTTTGGGAGGTTGGGAAGGGGGGGGGGTGAGGTAGGGGGGGGTATGGGAAGGGGATTTGTTTTTGTAAAATGTAAAAATTTTCAATAAAAAAAAAAAAAAGAAAAGAAAAAAAAAAAAAAAAAAAAGTAAACAAAATATCTTAAGGACACCAGATTTCTATCTTACAGCAAAACAATGTAAGTGTGGTTTATATTCCAGAGAATTCAGCTATTTGTTCTAATTCATAGGACACTCTGTAACTTACAAAGCATTTTGTGTATCAATGAAAATGGTTTCTAGAAAATAATTTGCAGCCACTACGCTTGGACATGGCTGAGCATTTCATGATCTACAGAGTGCATATGATAGTAAAAAACTCCGCTCCTTTAAGTCTGTCTACTTTTTCTCTTACTAGTAAATCAATGATCTTGAATAGGATTGCCAGGAAGAGGATAAATCAGTCCATCTAATATCTCTCAAGCAAATTATTGGGGGTTAGGTCATTGCTTCCATCTTTTTTCCAGTTTTTTGCTTAGTATAGGTGGGGGATTAGGTTTAGGAATATAGTATGAACAGAAGAAAGACATGTCTAACTGTGACTCCAGAATCTTAGCCTAGCAGTCACAAAAGTTGAAACTTAAAGCAAAGTTATGGTATGTTTCTTTTGCCCTCAGTGAAAATATTGGAATTTATCTGTTTTCCTCCCTTTTCAGGATGAGAATCTTCTTCCTTTGAAATACTTTGAAGTTGATTTTCCATCTATAGTCTCAAGAAAAATTCATTACATCAAGTAAGTGCTGGAATCTGTATTATCTTTGAACAACTGAATGAATGCCTTTGTCTTTGGAGAAGAATTTTAGAGCAAAATGACTAGAAGTGATACTGAAATAGTCACATTTTAATTACTTTGCTTTATTGTGAAAATATGTAACACAAGAAGTATAGTAAACTCTTACCTGCTATTCTACAAATTGCGCTTTTATAGTGTTGCCTGATTAAATGTGACTGTGCTATTATGAATGTTTGATGGAGATTTTGTACATTTCTGTCTTTTCACATCTCCTGTTTGATCTAAAGCAGGGGTGTCATGCGGAAGCCATCCCCAGCCCCATTGCCAGCAATGACAAAATATGTCATGCGACGTCACGTCACAGTTTGACATGTTTGCTCTAGAGCAAGAACTCTACATAGTAGTTGCAGTTTTGTCAAAACGCAAGAAAGGGTGCTATTCTTTTTGTCAGTATATTGGACAGGTTCATAGACTTGTACAGGGGTAGGCACCCTTGGCTCTTTTATGACTCGTGGACTTCAACTCCCAGAATTCCTGAGCCAGCTATGCTGAGGGGACAGGGAGAGGTTTCTAAGCTGAGCCATGCTGGCTCAGGAATTCTGGGAGTTGAAGTCCACGAGTCATAAAAGAGCCAAGGTTGCCTATGCCTGGACTTGTAGATGCTGTCACCTAAAGCTGAAGTGGATATGGTTTTTTTTTTCTTTTTGAGTTAATCTGAAAATAGGAAGGTGAATTTCAAGTATAATTTCATAATGATTTTCTTTAAAGCTGCTATGATTACTTTGCAGAAGAGTGCTTTAAATAAAGCAGGAATTTTTCCTTCAATCAAATAATTATGAGAGCAAGTTCTCACATAGTTAAAAGCAAACATAATCAGTTAGCAAAACAAGTAACAGGAAATCTGCCTTTCTCACACAAAGGAGATAATTCTAATTCTTTGCATCATGCTGCCAGAGAAGGCAATAAAAAAACAAAGACATGCAAAAATGACCACAAATAATTATGCAGCAGTTTATAATAATGTCCTACATGCATATCCTAATTACTGTAAGATGTCTAAATAGGATAGCCTTAGCTTATAAATGTGATTTATGCATTTATTTATGCAGGCACAGTCAAACAATTATATCTATAAAAATACTTTCATACTTTATTGGGTTTAAGAATTAGCACAGACCAAGTATTGCTGTAATAATCAGAAATATATCTAGAAAATGTAAACATTATTAAAACTATATTATAATGCAGACCTTTTAAAATGTAAAAATCAAAAATCAAGCATGAAAATAATTTTACTTTCTAATAATATCTGTAAACTAATTATCTAATCCTGATAGGTTCAAGCCAAGTTAAGCAATGTCTGGTTAGCGAACAGAGATTCATAGCCAAGTCCTGTCCAGGGAGTCTATTCCTTAATAGATATCTTTAAGTTGCCTGGAGTGCATCCAGAGGGATGGTGAGACAACATTGCTTAAATGTTGTCTGTGGTGGTAAAAAAGAGTGAATGGCCTTAATTATATGATCCTGGGATTTCAAAACAAATTCAAGGTGTTTAAAAGTACTTTTAAAGAATTTTTCAAATTATAGTTAGTCTGCGACTTACAACAGTTCATTTAGTAACTGTTCAAAGTTACAAAGGGAGTGAAAAAAATGCCTTATGATTGTTTTTGACACTTCGGACTATTGCAGCATCCCCAGGGTCACATGATCAAACTTCAGATGCTTGGCAACTGACTCATTTACGACGGTGGCAGTGTCCCAGGGTCCCCTTTTGCAACCTTCTGACAAACAAAATCCATGGGGAAGCCAGATTCACTTAACAACTGCGTTACTAACTTAACTGCAGTGATTTGCTTAACAACTGGCAAGAAAGGTCGTAAAATGGGGCAAAACTCACTTAAGAAATGTCTCACTTAGCAACAGAAATTTTCAGCTCAGTTGTGGTTGCAAGTCGAGGATTACCTGTGATTTCTGCCACACAGATTTGGAGTGGCTACATTTATTCTGAACGGTGAGGAGTCCACCATCTTTCGTCTTCTTGAAAGCATCTCTGTTGACGTTGCCATTCCTGTCCAGCATCACCTGCCGATGTTTGGCTCTGGGAACGTCCCTTTGACTCAGACAAGCACAGGAGTGACGCTCAGCCTGTATTTGGTTTCTGTTACTTGTTCACTTAGTCCACTGCAGAAGGTGACCCTGCAGCCCACTCTCTTAGCTTGCTTTCAGAAAGCCCAGAACCATTCTGTCGTTGGTGTAGGAACAATTGATGCTTTCCCTGCTGACTCATGGGCTCTCTTTTCTCTTTCTCTTTGTCCTTTACAGATCAAAACCTCCTCTCTCCAAACCGATCATGGAAAGCCATTCAGGGGAGACTCTTCTCATCGGTGAGTCAGGGCAGCTTTTCTAGACTTCTCTCACGTTCCCCTGTGGGGTTGAGTGAGGGCGTTTGTTCTTGCCTTGTTTTCTTTGACCAGCCAGTGGTTGCCTCTCCCTGATGCAAGACCGGAATAGGAATTCAGTGCTACCCCCCCCCCCCAAAAGGCTTCTGTGGATTCCCTTTGTAAAATTCTGAACTAGCCTCTCCCTTAGACCTCGTTAGTTTTAGGATCCAGTCAGTTGGGTTGTTTTGAAAGACATGGTTTTGATCTGAGCTGACATGTTTGCTCATCCCCTGCAATGGCATCCCTGGAGTGCCTCCCGTCGTGACTGGAGCTAGCGATACGGGTGAATTTGTCCTGGGGAGTTTCTTCTTTTCCAGGGTCTACCCAAGATTAGGACTGGGATCAAAACCCCTTGGAAATCCTCTGTTTTCAAGTCCTCCCACAGGACTTTGGCCTCAATGCCCCCAGATCTCTCCTTTCCCACAATGTCAGCAGGTTCTGCTTGTACCTGCAGCTGATGAAAGGATGTAGGATCTGGGCTGGGCTTCTCTTACCTGAAACCATGCAGGATGAGCATGCCCGTCATGGGTTTGGAAGATGCTTCCTGTTTGATGACAGGGGCCTCGGCCTTCCTTTTTTCCTGCCATGATAGGTGCTATCTGACTGCTTCACGTCTGTGGGTTCCCCGCCCCAGCCCCCCATCAAGTGGCTTGTTATCAGCACTGGTAGCATAGTTTTTAAAAACAGCCTTATATTGTCACAGTTCTTTAGCAAACCTCCAACTTTTCTCAGGTATCAGAGGATCTGTGGCTGGCTTTAGAGTTTTCCTTCAGTGAAAAATGTGGGCCTTTGAGGCTGCTCCTCAGGTAGTCCTTTGGAAGGAATTAGCTGTTAAAAGGGTTTGCCAACCTCTCTTCTCCCCCCCCCCCCCCGATGGAGAAAAAAGAGCCTCGGAGGCAGAAATCCCAAGACCTTCAAGGTTCCTTACTTGGTTTTTTTGGACATGGCTGTCATTGCCCTCAGTTGGGGAGCATTTAAAAATGGCTCTCCCTGCTGATTCCGCTGCAGATGCCCACTGTCTGGATACCAGCCGATATGCCATTGTTGGAGGTGATCTTCGAGACTTGCCCAGACTAGAAGAAGAACTGAAGAAATGCCACATGGATCCAGAGTAAGATGGGGACTGGAATCCCTGGGTGGCGTCCACCCTGATGGCATTCAGGGAAGCCTTAAAGGCCTGGCTTTTCTCCCAGGCCTGGCTCAGGTGGTTGGGGACCCAGGAGAAAAGCCAGGGTGTGGGTGTAGTGACCCTGAGTTTTTGTTTCTCTTTTATTCTTTTACATTTATCATATTCTTGGCTTTATGGCATACTGCCCAGAGTCAGGTGGTGGCTAATTTAAATAAATGTGTAAAGGGCATTTCTGAACACACAAGACAATCTTTTCAGCACTTCTTGCAGTACCTAGGATCAAAGATGGGGGGGAAACCCTGACTTCTTTCAATCCCTTGCCCTTTTCTTCTTTCTCTGAAAGTTTGCCAACGCTCCTGATGACAGAATGTGTGCTGATCTACTTGACCATTGAGCATTCAGCTTGCCTCATCAAGTGGGTGGCAACCACGTTTCAGTCTGCCATGTTTATCAACTATGAGCAGGTAAGTCGGGACTCCTCCACTGCCCATTTCAGCGCCCAAACCAAGTATGACATAAGATCATGGGAAAGGGAGAGACAGGCCTGCATGGCTACTTCAGGGCTAGGGCTTGGTGAGCTTATAAAGCAGTGGTTCTCCACCTGTGGGTCGGGACCCCATTTGGGGTCGAACGACCATTTCACGGGGGTTGCCAAACAATGCAGTCCGCCATTTCCCCCCCTTTTCCTTAGCTGTGCTACTCCCTTTTATTCTGTTGGCTTTTGAAAGCCAATAGAAGAGACTCTCTTGAATAGAGTCTCATTCTATTGGCTTTCAAAAGCCAGTAGGAATTGTCCAGGCTGTCTCTGCCCTGCTGAGCCCGCCAAAAGTCCCATTCTGCAAACAGTGCTGCACCAGTTGAGTAGTCCTCGACTTACGACCGGTTGAATAGTCCTCGACTTATGACCGGTTGGGGGTCGCGGCATTAAAAAGGTTGAGAACCACTGTTATAAAGCCATTCCCGCAAGAGGACATTATTCTTGCCTGTGTTTGAGTTTTGCTATTTCTGCATGGCTTCCTACAGTGCAAGAGCAGAGAACTTCTCAAACTGGGTTAATTATTTATTGAGAAGCGCTTCTGAGTCAGAGGTGGTTGAACTCAAAGACAAAGCACTGGAAACAATCTTACTTTTTATTAAATATTAATCCATTGAATCTTAACATGCTGGCATTTTAACAATGGTGCAAGCTGCATCTTTATAAAAAGGAGAAACCTCTTAGGAAAAAAATGCAGATGACAGATTTGATACTGCAATTTTGGGTATGAAGCCAGTTACAGTTGGAAATGAAAACGCTGTTTATAGTGATCCAGTGTAACATACCCTTTTCTCATAAAATTGTTGGTTTTCAACACAGGAAATGTTTCCAATTTTCAGTGTTATTAGACTGACCCCTTTGCAAGTCGGAGCGTGGTGACAATTATTTGGGGTTGTACTGAGTTGCTCTGTGAGCATTATGTTATTTTATTTTTTAAATCTGTATAACATCCAGCAGTTGTGCACGGTCAGGTAGTAAGTACTGATTTAAGTATTGAAAATGGTGATTTCCTCCAAGTATTGGGATCCCACTGCTGTGTGTTCTGGAATGGGAAGAAATGATCTTTTTCCTTCTCATAAGGAACTGAAAAACCGGATTTTGCCATTTGTTTGCATTTATTGAGGCCCAAGCAGAGTTGAGCTCTTAGGACATTCTACCTAGCAGGAAGTTCTGGTGCAAAGGCCCTCGTTGCATAGGGCTGTTGCTTTAAATCACAAGTCTAGGAGAACTGTCTCTACTAATTCGACACCTGCTGTCGGAGTGCCCAGTGCATTTGCTATTTCCAGCTGGGAATTGTGAGAATCTGGTTTCTAGGGGTGCATCTAAGAATGAAAGGGAGGTTCTGGGCAGAGATTAAAAAGATACATGTGGAGCAGGATTATGGACACCTTGAATGTCGTATGAAGGCTGCATCTTTCTACCACTTGCTGGAGCAGCCGGGAGTTCCAGGGTTCCACATGGAGCTGAAAACTGCTGCTCTTTTAAGAGTTGTCTTCAATTTAGCAAGCTGGCTCTATAATGCCTTTTTGGGTTTACACTGAAACCTGAAAAGCTTGAGGCGCTCTATTGAATTTCAGAGAAGTGAATCCCAAAGCCCAACAGTTTTCCAGATTGTTGCTAGAGCAGGTAGATTCTCTTAATGCGTTTCCCCCAAAATAAGACTGCGTCTTATATATTTTTATTGACCAAAAGACCCTTTAGGGCTTATTTTGGGGGGATGTCTGACTTTGCGGCCGTCTGCCCACTCCATCCCACCATCTGGTTGCTCGCGGTCACAAAGGGGCAGGAGAGTGCACGTTGCATCGGTGCCACCGCTACCAGGTGAGGCGAGGCAGGTGGGGGGTGGGGTGGAGCTGCCCCACATGCCCCACACTGACTTACTTCAGGGCCCCCACAGGCAGGCCGCTTGGTGACCTCTCCCCACCTGTTCAATGACCCGGCTGCCCACCCGCCTCTTCCCTTTCACTCCGCTCCCGAGCTGGACTGCCATGCTATGGAGGATGGACAGGGGAAGCTCGGTTGCTTTAGCTGGCCCCCCTCTGCCATTTTGGAGCCATGGGGGAGTGATGGCGAAAGGCCTCAGCCGCCATTGCGCATCAGCCACATCCACCACTAGAGGGGCTTTCTTCTGTCCCTGCTGACCCTGCCCCCCCTGCAAATCACCTGCAGCTGCCTTCCCTGCCACTTGGGTCCTGTGTCACTGCGTCGTGTTTCGTTGCACTGCCTGCTCCCCGTTCACCGCCTGTATTGTATGGTTTCAATGGTGGCAACTCTGGAGACTGGGGGGGGGGGCCTCTCTCGGCTTGGGAGGGGAGTGAAAGAGAAGAGGCGGGTGGACAGGCAGGTAGGTTGCCAAGCGGGGAGTGGCCTGGCTGCGGGGGCCCTGAGGTAAGCAGGGCGGGGTGCATGGGGCAGCTTCACCTCCCCACCTGCCTTGCCTCACCTCGTGGCCGTGGCACCGGTGTGATGCACGCTCTCCTGCCCCATTGTGACCATGAGCAACCAGATGGTGGGATGGAGTGGGCGGGTTGTTAAGTAGGGCTTATTTTTGGGGATAGGGCTTATGTTAGGCACAAGCCAAAAAGTCAGGCTAGGGCTTCTTTTCTGGGTGGGTTTTATATTTGGGGAAACAGGGTAGATGCTCATTTGTGCACTTGTGCTCTAAATGGAGAGACAGCAAGTACCGTTCTTGTGTCTTTTCCAGGTGAATATGGCGGACCGCTTTGGACAGATCATGATTGAGAACTTGCAGAGCAAGCAGTGCCAGCTGGTTGGTGCAGATGCTTGCAGATCTCTGGAGTCCCAGGTCAGATTTCCTGGACAATGGGACTCAGCTTGGTAAAAACTTCCAATAAAAGAAGAGGGCTTTGCCCAAACTCTAATGCCTGCATTCAGGTCCCAACTTCACCGAGTACTTTGCCCTGCATGCTCCATCCCATAACACAGGAGTCCCCAACCCCTGGGTCGGTCCATGGCCCGCAAGAAACTGGGCTGCACAAGCGAGGGAAGCCCTATCTGTGCATGCGCAGGATCCAGGCAACACACAAACCATGCCCCTCCCAGCCCAGAGAACCAGTCCCTGACGCCGAAAAGGTTGGGGGCCCTTGCTGTAATAGGCCTTGTTTTGGAGAGGTGCCACGGTTGAGGAAAGGGGATTGCTCATGCTGATATTATACAAAATCCAGCTGACTGGCCTGGTGGCCCTCCTAGTCTGAGAGCTGCACTGTTTTTGTCCTTAGAACTATAGAGTTCGTCAGGGCCGTTTAAGTCGCTGAGTCTAACTCCCTGCAAAGAGCGAAGCAGGAATCTAAACTGACCGTATCCCTGAGAGGTGCCAGTTCAGCACTTCCTTAAATGCTGCTTCTTGTTGAACTCTTCCTTCTGTGAGAAGATTTTTCATGATGTTCAACCAGGTTTTGCTTTCCTGGAAGTTTTATCCATTATTTTATCCATTATGTATCCGTTATTGAGAAAGATCGAGAGCAGGTTGATTGTTTTCTTTGTGACATCTTTTCAGAAGTTTAAAGGTTAAAAAAAAAAGATTTTTTTTTTGAAAATTGAAAAGGAATTTTCAAGGCTAAACCTTCCGAGATCCTTCAGACTGTTAACTCTTTGCGGGGTAACATCCTGTTCAGACACACTTTCAGACCCACTGCTTGGCAGCCTGTTCTAGTATTTTGCCCAACTATAATATTAAGCTGAATGTGAGGTAACGTTTTGAGTGATTTATCTACTTTTTGAGTCCTGGAAAATTTGCCTCTAACAGATTTTTCTACTGCATTTCATTCGCAGAAGGAACGATTCCTGCAACATGGCTGGGAAACAGTAAATGGTCTTGATATGCTGAAGGTCTATCAGAGTTTGCCATCAGATGAGATCAAAAGGTAAGCTCCTCATTGGGGTGTTTTTATTCAGAGAGAGAAAAGGAGAGAGCAGACACGTGCGTGCATGTTTGTATATCTGTTCGCATAAAGCATGTGAAAGCTGGTTTGGAGTAGTGGTGAAGGTGCTGGCCTAGAAGCAAGGAGACGGTGAGTCCTAATCCTGCCTTAAGCATGAAAGCCAGCTGGGTAGGTGGCTTTGTGCCAGTGACTCTCTCAGCCCAACCCACCTCACTGGGTTTTTTGGGGGGGAGGGGGGAAGAGAAGACAAGAATACTCAGTAATGGATAGTTAGCGGTGAAGGTGCTGGACTAGGAAGAGGGGGGCCTAGTGTTTCCTCAGCCATGGAAATTCCCTGCAGAAAATTCCCTGAGGGACTCCAGGCTAGTCCCTCTCTCTCAGCCCTAGACTGGAAAATTAAAAAAAAAAAAATACATATCTGCTCACCTGCACTGAAGCAGCACAGTCAGCTATTGTGCGTGACCTTCAGTGAACAGGCCTTCCTCTGACTATGGTTTGAGCCGAGGTGATAATGATGACAAAGACCACAGAGATTAATAATGGTGATAATGATAATACAGTTTTAAAGTTACAGTATAATAGATAGTTTATATGCAAAACTAGATAGCTACAGTGCGTGTTAGGGTAGCCCTTGACATGTTTGCTTGCAATAGAAACAGATGGCAGATAGCCCTGAATCAGCCACATGCCTGGTGGAGATAGTTGGAGGTGCTCTGACCTTAAGCCCTCCCAGCCTGAACATGTGAAAGGGCAGGCCACAGAGTGAGGCGCCTGATGCTGATCTGCAGGCCCAAGATAAGACTAAATGAGGGATTGCAGTACTTGAACTAGCCTTGTTCCAAAGCAGGGGTTGTCATCTGAAACTGAATTTGGAAGTGAATAGATAATTTACTTCCATGTAAATTATGATGTATTTGTTACAAAATTGATGTATTTTTAAATTACCTAACACCCTTTCCTAAAACTGCCAAACCTAGAATAAAGGGAAACAAGAATCCTGCAGTGTAGTCTTAACCCAGGCTGAGGAACTCTGGCTGAGGAATTCTGGGCCAAGTTTGAAGACCCCTGTCTTAACCAGTGTGCTTTTGCCTGGTGAGTTTGATTGGTGTGTCGAACCCAGTGAGCAAAAGCATTCCTACCTGTTGAGCTCAGCTGGGTCTCCAGAGAGAACAAATGGGTCAAGGGGTGTCTCCAGAATGCATGTCCAATTCTTCTGAATGCTGCTGATTCTTTGATCTTGGATGAAACATCTCAGTGGATCCATGTACAGTATATGTTAAAAACCAGGACAGGCTAAGCCCTGAAGTATCCTCTATATATGCCAAGAGTTGTGGAGTGGAAATTAATCCTGAAATACTCTTTGGTTTTGTAGCATTTTGCTCCAGCAAGCCAAGGTTTTGCACCCACCTAAAAGTGAGTACAAAAACTGCACACCACCTGAGAACCAATATGGCCTCAGCTGGCACCAAAGTGTAATAATAATTTTATACTTTTTGTTCCAGTAAGCCTTAATTGGTTGTCCTAGTGTTTAAGAGGTACCAAAATGTCAAATCGGGATTCAGATGCAGCATCTAAAAACTCAACATTGTTATATTCACCCCAAACTAGGAATGTGCAGAACTCACTGATAACTTCAGGAAACTGCCCCCGGAACGACAAGGTCTGGAGGGGGAATGGAACATTCCAGGGTTCAACGGAACGTTCTGTTCCTGAATTGGTGAGTTTGCACATCCACAACCAAAACCTTTGCCAAAGTTTTTTTGCAGTTTGTTCCATCAAGCCCAGGTTTTCTATCTCTTCCCTCCTCTAAAAGTGGGTAACTGATACTTGGAGAACCCAGAATATGTATTTTTCTTAATGGACTGAAAACAATGGATGGGTTTCTTAGGTAAGAGAGTGAGTGAATTGTAAAGCACATTTTGATAAAAGGATGATAATGGACAGGATATAATTAAGTCATATATATTGGACTTGACACTAATGCTTCTTACTGATGCTTCTTACATTAATAGGAAATGTTGGAAAAATAAATACTGCATGATCTGGAAATAAATTTTAGTCTTATTGTCAGGGAGAAAGACAGCAATTGCTCTATTTGGAGAAATTTGGCTCTTAAGGCGTTTTGGTTGCATATCTGACATTGGGATTACAATTAAGTTATCAGTGAATAAATATTGGCCCTTTATTGTAGAAAGGAACAATAACAGGATAATTTGCAGAGATGTCTGCTATTCACAAATGTCTGTTAAATAGAACAGAAGAGAGGTACATAATTATGTTCTATTTAGCAGACAATTTATGTTCTTTGTATGATGATGCTATGATGCAAGCTTCTTTACAAATAACTTAGATTCAGCCACATTTAAAGTTTTATAACATAAGAGTTTGCAAAGTTATGTTTGGTTTACTCCATATAGGCTCAGATCAGAAAATTGCCCTAGTAGATTTTTAAAAGGATTTGCTATATATGTGAGATTGTCAGTTCCAGGCGGGTCTCATAGTCCCAGGGCTTTTCCTTGGTCTCACCATAATTGTGAGACTTGGCAGAAGCTGATGGAATGCCTCTGGGATTAGGAAGTCTCTGTCAGCCTCAAAACAAATAGCCTTGTGGAATTAAAAGCACAGAAAAGTGAAAGCATGGTTTTAAGAAGTTGCTGCTGACTCTGCTGGAACAGTTTTGTGGGCCCACGGCAGTAGTACAATGCTTAAAAAGGTAAGCATCTGAAAAGCTACTTTGTGCCTACCTAATATAAAAGAGAAAAAGGATAACAGTGGGTTTATAAATAGAACTACATTACTTTGTAATTAGTTTATTAAGTTTATACTTAATGTAGTATAACTGAAAATACTGTATTTTAACTAAATCAGTCTAAAGCTGTTGAAATCCATTTTAATGACTTTGATCACATGCCAGTTTTGTATAGTGAGCTTTTATAGCTAAAAACCTGTATACCATGCAAGCTTGATATTTTAAAATAATAAAAATGGTCAACGGGACCAAATTGATTTTGGGGTGCTCTGTAGCATAACACACAATCATGTCAGCTACCCACTTTGGCGAGGAAATGAAACCTGAAAGTGCTGGTAGAAAAAGGAACAAAACTAGTATAAAACTTTGACCCAGGTTTTTGGTAAATACAGCAATGTTGGGGTGTGTGTCTTAAGGGCTTCCTTTGAACCCCAATTTAAAATGCCTTAATTATGGGGACACAGGCTGGGCTTTATTGAGCAAAACTTTGGCTATGTTGGTTTTATGGTACTCTGTAGCTCTCACAGAGGGCATGTCAATTATCCATTCTTGGCTGTCATTCAAAAACTGTGATGGAATAAGATACTGTAGTATAAAACTTAATTGGTTTTGAGTGGAAACCAAATTTCACAATTTTTGGTTTGTTACCTATTCTGTGAATATGGCTCGCCAACTCACAGATTGTGATACAGCAGTTCAGAGGCACCAGCAGGCTCCTTTGTTGGGCTCCTTGGACTGACCCCCATAGAAATCCTGAAACTCCTGACTCCCATCAGAGTCTTGAATTTTGGTTGGGCTGATATGTGTCAGGAAGCCTGACTCAAAGCTGCCCTTTGAGCTCTGGACCTAGCTAGGAATTAGACCCTGGCTTAGTCCATCCTGGTAGCTCCTTCCTCTCTTAAGTGCAGCCTGTGTCTGCTATCACCTGTCTTGTCATCTTCCTTTCTTCCTTCCAGGATAGAGGCCCTTGAGTTCCTGGATGAGAAGGAACCATTTGAGCAGCTCATGCAACATTACAGCCTGTGCTGGGCTATCAAGGATTCCCAGAATTTAGGTATGCTCCTCTCTCTTGTCTCTTGCTTCAGAGCTCGAAGGACTCATACAGGCTGGGCCGTTTGGGAAAACACACGTGTTGCTTGTTGCTCTGCGTGGAGGCAGTTGGTCCACATGCGTCTTGGCTTAGAGTCAAGATTTTTTCCAAATGTTTATTAAGAGTTATAAATGAAAAGAAAAAAAAATCAATATAACTATTAAATATATAGAAAAAGAAAAGGAAAAAGAGACATAAAAAAAGAACCAGCTTTCCCCTTCATCTCAGCAGGTAAAAGTAATTTTATTAGCTGTGACTGTCTCAAAATATCTGTCTCAAAATATCTCAAAAAAATCTCTCTTCATCCTATAACTCATCCCTTAGGTAAAGAAAACAAAGTAAAATGGTATGTCAGTGTTTTGTCAGCAAAAGTCCAATAAATAATTCAAAGCTATAATTCCAAATCCCTCTGACCTCTTAATCCATCGTTAACTTTTCAAAATCCATATACTAAGCATCCTTTTGCTTCATAGTCCTAAAATCATACTTTTAAAACATTTAAAATCAAATTTATACCATCTCTTTTAAGGACACAGAAACTTATCCAATAAATACAGTAAAACCTTGCTGGTCAAATAGCTCCAATACCCAAACAATAAAATAACGCAATAGGGGGATTAAGATAGAAGGCTCGGTTGGGCTTAATGTGTGTATAGGCTGCTCTGCAAGTGTGACCTTGATGTAGTCCCAGCCACTCCATTCGTAAGCCAACCTTTAAAATGGCGGTCTGCTCCCGAGGAGCGGCTGTCCAGAGGCAAGTGGACAATCTCAGCCGTTTCCCCTCAGACCCAGCATCTACCTGTGACTCCTTGCAAAAGCTGCCTTCTAAGGTCAGCCCTCCGTGGTGTTCCCTGCAAGTGTCCTGCTTACACGAGGGTTTTTGGATTGCATTGGGAGGAACTGGGAGGTTCTGCAAGAGTTTGATGGGCTTCTATGGGAATCTGAGGGCAAAAAAAGTTCACCCAGATTACAGACAGTTTTCTGTTACTTTGCTTCTTGATGGGTTTTGGGAAACAGGTTTTTCTGGTTAAAAAACTGTGAAAGCCCCAAATTCTCCCCTGTCTTTCTACAGGCCTTGCAGACATTACTCTGTGATGCGTTTGCTCCAGTGGAGCTCCAGGTGAATCTGCTGCCCCCTCCTGGTGGGCCTCTGCATGCCTCCGCTGCCCCCCTGTTCCCACAAAGGCGCCCGCAGGTGAACATGCGCCTTGGAGCCTGGCAAGCCCTCTCCTCTCCCCCACTCGTGGCACGTGACAACCTTTTGAATAAATTACTCTTTTTGTGAGCAGCTGAAAAACAAGCAAGTCTCTCTCTCTCTCTTTTGTAGAGATTTTTCTAAAAAAAAATAATACTATGAATGGAAAGAGATTCAGATTTCTTCTAGATGTACAAGTGATGCTTTTTCCCTCTCCTTGACTTGCTGGCTGCCTCAGAACTGGGCTGAGGATTTCAACTGGGGCAGGAAAGCCCCCCCCCCCCGTTGTCTGTCAGCCATCCTTAGAGGCCCCCCTCCTCCCTGGGGTCTTGCGTTTTTCTTCCTTTCTGAAATAATGTTCCCGATGCATTTCTTCTGCCTTGGGTTTCTTGGTATTTTCCATAGGACTCCGCTTTCTTCTTCTTTTTCCTCAAAAGAGAGCTGGCTTCAGTCTGGGAAGCTCTCACGCTCAGCGAGGGGGAAATCCTGCTGGCTCTGAGCTGCAGCTTGTGGTGGCTGTATTGAGACACACTCCCGACCCTGAGAGGGTTAATAAAGGGTGAAGTTTTGTAAAGCTGTTTCATGCCTTTTTTTGATAACTCAAATAGCCATTTGATTGAACAAGGCTCTGGGTGCCCCAATGCAGCAGGCCCAGAGTGCCAGACGGCACTACCCCATGGACATTTTCTCCCTCTCCAGGAAAGGGAATTACTTCCCTTTGTTCAACCTAAAGGAATTCCCCTCCCCTGCTGGGAGCAGAATCCCCCCTCCCCAGAATTTTCCTCCCTGACTTTATCCTTTGATCACCTGACCCATTTTCTTCTTCCTGTCTTCACAGAGATTGTTTAAACAAGTGCTCTCTTCCCAGAGTGCCTTCCTCCCTGTCTAGTGGCCCCCTAAAGGGGCTAACCACAAGCTAACTGGCACTCAAGACCCTAACCAGGTTCACCCTAAAAGCTTCCTTCTGCCAGTTGGGGCACAGTTTGGGGGGCTCTTCTATCAGACACCAGAGCCCCTGATTCCTAACCTGAGACCTGTAAGCATCAACCTGTTGCAAATGTTTCCATTGACACCTGGACTGCGTGTCCCATCTAGTTTTGTATTCCCCTTTATTTATAAGAATCAGAAAATATATGACCTTTTTCCCTCTCTTGATGACTCCATTCTTTCCTTAAGTACTTCCTTCATGCAAGGTAGGCTGAGATGATAGACATAACAGGCAGCCTCCCCAGTTTGCTTTCTGGGAATGGTGGCCCTCTGACGTTCTAAACATGGGGCTCACCTGCAGCCTGTGGAGCCCAGGAATTCTCAATTTTCTAAGGATTAAGTGACAGGTAACCAGCAACCTGCAGTGGGTCTGGGAGCAGGATAAGTACAAAGGAGTGATAGAGAGGGGTGTTGTGACTGTGTGTGTGTGCCCTGCCGGCAAACCTCTGTGGCTCTTGAGGGCTCCAAAGGCTGCCCTTTGATTCCTCAGATGTTCAGATTTCAACCAACAGAACCTGTTTCCCATTTTCCAAGTTCTCTTCCAGTTAACCCAGATGGACTGGGAGCTGTGGTGACTCATGCAGAGAGGCAGTAGACAGATGTTTTCTTGGGGGCTAGGAGTTTCCTGCATCAGAACAGTGTCCTGGCCTGTGTGAGAACTGATGAGAAACAAAGTAGGTAAGAGGATTGAATTGGAACAATGAAAATCTTGTCCCAGGCAGCTGCTTCTGTAGGTAGACCTTCTCCCTAGCACTTTCACCTGGTCTAAATTTGCAGTTCCCCAAGGACCGCAAGGGGGCAGCACTTCCATTGGGTGGAGGAGCTGCTGCTGCAGGATGGTCTGTCAACAGCTAATAGGGGATCTAGCTGGGTGTCAAGAGCCACCAAAGGCCAGACTGGAGCAGCAGCGGGTGAAGAAGTTGCTTCCAGCTCTGGGTGTGACCCTCTTGGAGGGTCCAGCGAAGACTCACAGCTCAGCTGCTGTCAGCAGTGGCCACGGTTGGCCCAGGCATTTGCGCATCTGATCCTTGGCTGCTTGAAGTCTCTGGAATTCACCTTTGACAAGATGAAGTCCTGCCCTGCCTTTGGTCCCTCCCTGATCTGCTCTCACCTTTGCTTTCAAAGAGATACTTGGGAAGGGTTAGGAAGCTGATAAATTATTTTTATTGGGATGGTTCAGCGGCTACCAAATTCTTCAGACATTTATTGGAACAGTTGATACTGCATATTTTCTGCTGGGTTGTTTACCTTCTAACCTTGGCCTCTACAATGAGATAGAAGCCCTTACCTGCTCAGGGGGGGCATGGTGCTCACGGTCACACCTGTTCTAGCAACAGTTGGGGGCATGACGTGGAAGAGTGGTTTGACTGAAAAGCCCTGGCTGGAGACATCAATGGGGAAGAAGTTGCCAAAGGTGCTTCTTTGTGGGAATGACTAAGCTGTGCTGCTAAAAGGAACCCTAGCAGAATAAGAGTTGGAAGGGACCTTGGAGGTCTTCTAGTCCAACCCCCAGCTCAAGCAGAAGACACTATCATTCCAGACAAGTGGCTGTCCAGTCTCTTCTTAAAAGCCTCCAGTCATGGACTACCCACAACTTCTGGAGCAGTGGTTCTCAACCTTTCTAATGCCGTGACCCCATAATACAGTTTCCCATGTTGTGGTGACCCCCAACCACTTATACATCACCGGGTGCCAGGGGCGTGGCCAAAGAAAAGGGGGGAAAAATGGCGGACAGCCTTGTTTGGTGACCCCCGTGAAATGGTCGTTCAACCCCAAATGGGGTCCCGACCCACAGGTTGAGAACCACTGTTCTGGAGGGAAGCCATTTCACTGGTTGATTCTTCTCACCATTAGGAAACTTATGCTTATTCCAAGATTGCTTGTCTCCTTGATTAATTTCTATCCATTGTTTCTTGTCTTGCCTTCTGGTGCTCTTTCCGGTGTTTCAGGAACTGTCAAGTATTCAGGTTCCCCCCATTCCCCAAAACTTCCAAACCAGATGGGTGGTGGGTGCACAGCTCGAAGCTGAGTCGGCCCTGAGGTCTAGTGGGCCAACTGTCACTTAGAAAAGTAAGCTGTAGCTGTGCCAGAGAGCAGCTCTTCTAGCTCCACCAAGATTCTCTAGGAGCAACGATGGAGCTGCACTGGAGCTCTCTTGCATGCATAGCAGGGGTTCTCTTGCAAAAGGCATCCCCCCCCCCAAAAGAAAACACAGACTGAAGCTGACCCAGGAGCTGAAATAGAAACTGCTGTGATTGATTTCTCCAGCTGCAAAGTAACAATTCCATTTTGTGGGATCCTTGTGCTCCGAGCTTGATTGTTTTCTTGCAGATGTTTCATTTACCCAACTAGGTAACATCATCAGTGCTGTTGATATTAATTAGTGCATTGATGATGTTACCTAATTGGTAATGATCACCAAGAAAACAACCAACTTCAGAGAGCACCAAGGACCCCACAGTTCAACCCCGAGCTGCAAATATTTCCTTATTGCTAATGCCAATTTGAAAGCAAGATGCCCAAATCTTTCTTCACTTCTCCATATTTTATGGGGCAAAACAGTATTTGCCTCCTTGCCCCACTGCTTCCCTGTGGGGGGGGGAGAACTTGACCCCCCCCCGGCTTAATGGAGCTCAGGTGTCCATGGCAACTAAAGAGCCTTGGATCTCACTTGCCAAGTTGGAAAGGGCAATATTGGTGAAGGGGGGAGCGTAAAATGTGAATTTCCCCAGAGACAAAATCATACCAGGTCTTGGGGGGGGGGGTGTCTGCCCTGTTCATTCAGCTACCTCAGCCTGCCTTGGAGAATCCTTGCATCAAAATGCTGCTTGCGACAGAGCATCAGCTGGGCACCCAAAGCCCCAAAATCTGTTCCTGAAAAAGGGGGTGGGGGGAGAGAATTCTGTGGTGCCAAGGAAAGAAAACCGGGGTTTGGGTTGCCATGGCAAAGCATGGTTGCCCTTGACGTGCTCCAGCTTGGCCTCCTGATTGCCTGCCATGAATTCATTGTGAAAACTTTCCCTTTTGTCTTGGACTGGAGAGCTTTTGCTGTGTCCCTCCTTTCAAGCCCTGCAAGGCTCCTGGCAGCTGCCAAGAGCTCCATGGGAGGCTGGCTTTCCCTGCCCCTCCTTAGAAAACCACCCCAATATCCCTGAAGCCCGGGACTCCCCAGCCACACGGGCAAGGCGTGGGAGTCTGTGCAGGGCATCTCCGGCTTGGAGGATTTTCTCTCTGTGCCCCCCCCCCACACATACAAAGGCCGCTGCCAAGAAGGGGATCGCAGCAACTGAATGCTGAAGCGCTTACAGCTTCTGGAAATAGCTAGCCTGCTCCAACTCAGCCCGGCTTCCCAGTCGCCAAAGATTGTCTAACCGTTGGGGAAAGACCAGCAGAGGAGGAGGAAATGTGCAGGAGATGTGCAGGGCTGCTTCTGCAGTGCCCCATGTAGGAGGTGTCCTCTCCTAGGTGGTAGATGGACAGAGATGCATATACACACAGGCGTTGTGGTGCACATAACTCTACGTTGCATATACGATCACAGGCACAGATACACGCTGCTGCTATCTCTATGATCTGCATCCAGAGGCAAGAAATTTCCGTTTAATTTACTATCACCTTTAGTCAGCAAATTAGACAAAAAAGAGAGAATGAAAATGCATCCCATGCAAATATGCGTGTCCCCACTCCATCTTAAATCTTGCTGGAGATCCTCTGCTGAAACCTTGATGCAAGATAATAAAACTTTGCAAGAGTGCAAGTTGTGTAACACTCCTTATCAGTGAGCAGAACGTAATGAGAAATTGGGGATTACCGCCAGAATGGGACAAAAGTCCGATAAAACTTGTAAATAATTTATGTTACTGATTCTACCCTTTTTGCATTGGGAGGATTTTGCAATATCTGCCCTGTGGCCGGGCTGAAGGAAGGGCGTCCCAGCCAGCCCTGAGAAAAGGCAGCTGTCTCTAGCAAGGCCTCCACATCTGCAGATGAGGTCGACAAAGTCAAGAGGGCAACTGCACTGGTGTGACTGAAGCCCTTTGTGCGTTTTATGGGTGGTGCTCCTGCAAACCACACTCGACCCACCTCTGGTGTGCAACATTTTCTGTAGCGTTCCTGCAACAAGCAGCTGGATGGGATTTCTGGCGAGGAATCTGGTCAACCTCTTTGGCCTGACTCACAATAAACATCCTTCCACCCGATTTACCCAACATCTTTTTCTCTTGATCTGCCAGACCTCAGGTTGAGGCCTAACTTATTTAACACACTTGGCAATGCATGTTTCCATCTGAGTCACCATTCGAGGCAAAGACGATTGGCTGCTCAAAGGTCAGCCGGGCTGGGAGTCCCCAGGTCAAGCTGGCCATTCAGTTTGGCATTTAGTGACATTTAGTGATTGCCTTTTGAGCGATGATCCCTTTGCTTGTCCTGAACCTTGGGCCTTAGATCTTAGAATAACAGAGTTGGAAGGGACCTTATAGGCATCTAGTTTAACCTCCTGCTTAAGCAGGAGACCCTGCACCATTTCTGGCAGATGGCAGTCCAGTCTCTTCTTAAAAGCCTCCAGTGATGGAGCACCCACAACTTCTG